TGCCCCATTCATCTATTACCCAGAAATGGGAGGGGGGAAGAGAATACAGCAGACAGCAATAGGCAATAGGTAATTTAGTCTATTTAATTTAAAGATCACATGAGTAAGAGTTTCAGTGAACACCACAAAGATAGTCCACTTGAAAATTAAGAAAGAAAAATCAGATCTCTACAACAATTTTTTGCAATAGGTAATTTAGTCTATTTAATTTAAAGATCACATGAGTAAGAGTTTCAGAATTCAGTGAACACCACAAAGATAGTCCACTTGAAAATTAAGAAAGAAAAATCAGATCTCTACAAACAATTTTTCACCAAACAATAACTAACTGTTGCAATTAAATAAGTGTTATTTTCCGTTTTCTGGAAGAGAAAAACAGACACTAGACTCTACCATGGAAGTTTGAATTGGTAGGACCACGTTAAATGGAGTGACTTTATTGTACACAGTACATATATAATTGAATATAGAGTCTGATATTAAAGATAATTTTTCCTTTACCCTGAGTCTGCCAGAACAAGCCTGATGTTACAATAATTGAATCATTGGTATTTGTATCTTTTTCTTTTTAAAGTACAAGTAGCAGCAGTTCTTCCCACATTTACAAAAATCCAGTTCTTTCACTCTGCCTGTACAAATCCCAATTCCTTTTACAATAGCCTCTTAACATTTGACTCCTTTTTCTTTAATAAATGGAAAAAGGGATATCGAATTTGATTAATCTGGCGCTCCCTTGCCTTTTGCTTTATACACAAAGTTTTCAGTCTTATGAACATACTCAAGGCCAACAGCATTCTCACCTTTCTCTTCTGCTGTGGCCACCTAGCACTGTTCCGTAACAGCCACAATTGCGTGTGGTTATGAATGCAGTTACCCTCGGGCATCCCATTCTACCACCAAACCTGCCAGCCTTGTCCCCTACTCCATCCTACGCCCTCTACTTTCTTGATCTAAATTTGAATGAACTATGAATCTTACAGAAGGAAAGCTATAATTTTACACAGAAGGGAAATTATCATATAGGCAAACTGTCCATTGTTTGAATTAATGCTTAACAAATTACTGCTC